AGGGGCGAGCGGAGCTTCCGGCCACAGCGTTCGCGCAGCAAAAGCCGCGGCTCCCTGCCGGGCTCACTGCCTCGGCTGGGGCCCCGCCCGCCCGCCCGCCCGGCCCCCGGGCGGATGCTAGAGGCGGGGAGAGCTGCCCGCCACCCCCCAAGAGAGGTCCGGAAAGGTCCTGCCGCGGCCCGCCCGGCGCCCCCGGGGCCAAGTGCAGACGGCACCGGAGGACGGAGCCACGGACGCGGGCCCAGCCGGCCCCGGGCGCTGCTCGCGGGGGCGCGCCGGCCCCTCCTCCGAGCGCACTCGGAAGGGCACGGGGGCCACCTGTTAGTCCCGCCTCCCCCCCACGCCCTCCGGCCCCACCCCTTCTCCCGGCCGGCGCTACTGGGAGGGGCGAAGTGGAGGCCGGGCTCTGGGTGAAGGCCCGGCACTTTGGGTTGGGTCCTCCCGGGCGTGCTTCCGCCTGGCTCGCAGCACCGCCCAGGAAAAGAGCTACCCCTGCGCACACTTAACAGAGAAGGCCACCGTGGCCCAGAGCAGCCCAACGACTCCCTTTGGTAAACGCTGGAGCGGCCCTCTCTTTTTTTTTTTAATACAAAATTTTTTTTTTTAAGATTTTATTTATGTGACAGAGAGAGACACAGCGAGAGGGAACACAAGCAGGGGGAGTGGGAGAGGGAGAAGCAGGCTCCCCGCAGAGCGGGGAGCCCGATGCGGGGCTCGATCCCAGGAGCCGGGATCATGACCCGAGCCGAAGGCAGACGCCTAACGACCGAGCCACCCAGGCGCCCCTGGAGCGGCTCTCTTAGCTCAGGGAGCAGGCTGGGATCAGCCGGCTTCAGCCACTGGCCTTCACACCGTCTTCCATCCTACTTTCATGACTGGACATTTTCAGGTGGCTGCTCTTTCAAGGGGGTTGCAAAGTGTGGATGAGCGGTCCTCCACCAAAACAGACCAAGCAGCATCTTTTTATAATAAATATAGGGTGTCCCAAAAGTCTTACCACAATTTTAAGCTGTTTAAGACGTTGAAAACTGTAAGATACTGATGAAAGAAATCGAACAAGACACAAACGCAAAGATAGTTCATGCTCGTGGGTTGAAAGAATTAATGTCGTTAAAATGTCCCTTACGACCCAAAGCAATCTATAGGTCCGATGCAGTCCTTATAAAAATTTCAATGACAGTTTTTTTCACAGAAATAAAACAAATCATCCTAAAATTTGTATGGAATCCTAAGACCCAGAATATCTAAAGCAATCTTGAGAAAAAAGAACAAAGCTGGAGGCATCATGCCTCACCTAAGATCCCTCCTTCTCCTTCCGAGAAGAGCAGTGACTGTAACATCAGACAGCCAGGAAGGGGGCGAAGAGTTTACGCACTCACTCATGAATCATTCTTGCATATGATGGATACTCCGCAGCCCCTGCCTGCTATGTGTCAGGCAAGTCCCGTGCCTGCTCCCTGGTCATACGCTGTTGACAAAACCAGACTTAGTTCCTACCCCTGTGGGGCTTGCAAAGTAGTAAAAGTGCGCTTCCGGGGATGGGGGTCTAGGAAAAGCATCACTGAAGGGTGGGAAGAAGAAGGACTTGCACGGAGAAGAACATAACCCGACTCGAGAATATTTAAGAGAAGGAAAAGCAAACCGACAGGGCTCTGGGAAGACAGTGCAGGCTCCTGAGCAGGAAGAGCCAGCACAGGAATGGGCGAGAATAGGGACTGGAACAGAGAAAGGGACCCCCTGGCGAACAAGAAAGGGAAGGTGGGAAGGAAGGGCATGTACAGAGGCTGTTCCTGCAAACGAACAGCTTTCAATAGTACTCCCTGCTTGGCTCCTCAGCAAGCCCCACCCTTGACCCTTCCGTTCTTCCCTGGGCGGATGGGTAGCTAGAGAAAAGGCTCAGTCCCTGGCCCCAGCACAGCCACCCTAGCTGAGAGAGCTGCCCCAGGCCCAGATGACGTTAGCTTCTGAGGAACTGCAGTGAGACCTCTAGGGGGGCTGGGGATGGACCGGTTCCTCCCGCGTCTGCCCTGCAGGTACTGAGCCAGCCCCACACACAGTGCTCATCCGGCCAGACCACGGGCAGTCTCGTTAGAACTGCAGCAGGGAGGGCAAACAGGGCATAATGATTGTGTAACTCTGCCCGGTTTTTAAAAGGCAGCCCCAACATCTCCCAAATGTGCTGTTTCCCTCAGAGCCATCCCGCATACCAAATAATAACCAAAATTGCTATCAGGCTCCAGGGTAGCTAGAGTTTCCCCATCTGTTACACAAAAGATGAAGTTGTTTTTCTGACCAGAAGCACTACTGTATATGGAGGGACCTCACCAACTACAGGGCTCTATCTCAATCAGCATTCTTGGTCGCAAGCAGGAAACAGGCTCTGGATACCGTATGTAGAAAAGGGTTATTAAAGGCTCTCAGGGGTTCACGGAACCACCAAAATGATGCAGGAATGATAGCAGGAAAAGTGGACAGGAATCAAAATAGCTCTGCAGAACCAAAAACCAGAAAGCAGAATACCATCTGGCGGCACCAAGAATGTTCCCACTGTCCTTGCAAATGATGCCAATATAAAGGAAATGAGAATTCAAGTCCTCGGTGGGAGTGTCCACTGGCCAAATCTATGTCAAAGGCCAGCACCGTAGCTATTGAATCGGAGCGAGAGCACATTCTGTCCCTCAGACTTCCACCAGCGTTCTTATGATGGGCGTCCTGCCCAAGTGGGGAAAGGGGTGGGATACTGGGCAGGAAAAAAAAAGAAAAAGAAAAAGACGCTGACTGCTATACGCTCTATAAATATAAGATCTTATTAGTATACATTGTCTTCTACATTCATAAGCAAGGTGGTACGATAGTGAAAACTCTCAGTCCTAGAGCAACAATGGGTTCTGCCAAATCTTTCAATGTTAGAATGCTGTAGAGTGAGGGTGTGGCTCAGGGCAGCTCAGACTCTCCATCCACAGGAATCTCCTAGGATGTAAGAAAACTACTGGATCTGGAATCAAGTCTTTCTCAGAAACATAGTCTCAAGCTCAGTTTGGGGCAGTTCTTTTTTTACCCAAACTTCCTCGTCTATATAATAGAGATAAAATCTGTCCTCCTATCTCAAGGATATACTAGAAGAATAAATACTGTGTCTCTTGGGCCATGGATACTTCAGAGTGTATGGAACTAGGAGGACCCATATACTTTGGGTTTGTGCACCACCAGATCAAAGAGAATGTATTAATATGCCTGTTAACTGTATCAGTAAACTGGGTATTTTTTTAAGTGCCTACCTCAAAGTATCCCTATGAAAATTTAAATGAGTTAATACATATAAATTGATTGGGACCATAAGGGGCACACAAATGCCCCTTAGACGCAAAATTGAACCTGCGAGTGGGAGTGATAATCCCAAGAGATGAAGCAAAAAGTGGGGGAGGGCCCCAGTCCCTCCTCCAGCACAGGTACCTGCTGTGGGTGTTCCTTCTGCCTCAAGAACAAGCGCTGGGGGGTAGAGGGGTTTCTTTGGAGTTAATGGTTGGCTCCTTGTCTGTGTTGGCTCCTTGCCAAAGATACTTTTCTTCCCAGACCTGCCCTCATGCCAGCAGGGAGCCCCATCATTCCCGGCCTCTGTTCTTCTGATACTTTATGTCATAGTTACTTACCAATCCCTCTAATGCAGTTATGTACAAGGTGACAAATTGTGTCTCTCCAAGAAAAAGAAAAACCCACTGAAGACAGGAACTGTGTCTTCCTCTTCTTGTGCCCAGGGCTTAGCACTAGGGCTTTTATCCAATAAAGTGTGTTGGGTTCAACAGAATGGTTTCTCGGTAAGAGCATAAGCACCAAAAGGGGGTTCAAACAGGCTGCTTCAAAGGTGTGTTAAAAATCCAGTAAACTTGGGGCGCCTGGGTGGCTCAGTCGGTTAAGCGTCTGCCTTCAGCTCAGGTCATGATCCCAGGGTCCTGGGATGGAGCCCCACATTGGGCTCCCTGCTCGGCGGGAAGCCTGCTTCTCCCTCTCCCACTCCCCCTGCTTGTGTTCCCTCTCTCGCTGCGTCTCTGTGTCAAAAAAATAAATAAAATCTTAAAAAAAAATCCAGTTTATAAACTTATAATTCACATGTGGTAAGCACCGTGAGGGCTAGTAATTCAAGGAAAAACTTGGGATTTGGGGAGAGTATGGTGATCTAAGGCCTTCGAAGCCCCTGGAGCAGGTAGCAATTTTCGTACTTGTCCATTTACCACTTTTCTACATGTTTTGAACAACACAGGAAAAGTCCACCTAGGAGGGAGCTCTCGGGGGCTATGAAGCTGCAGCAAGCATTGCCCTGGCAGGCCTGGGGACGCCCATGGTTCCAGACGCAGCATGAAGAATGGAGGGAATTTGGGCCTGGTTTGTGGTAACTCTTATTAAATTTAGTTGGGCACACAACCCTGAAAAAGTTGCTGGGTGCCTGAAGAGAGCAGTGAAGAGTGCAGTGAGTGAGTGAAAGCAAGCAGCCTTTTTTCCAACAGCCAATGGCTTTGGCCCTGGGGCGGCCAACATCCAAGATCTGAAGGGGGCCCTGAGCAGGGTCTTTCTCCAGGAAATGCCACTTTTAGGCTTCCTTGTTTTCTCTCTCAGCTATGCTCTACTGTTGTCCTTTCTTAAGTACATTCTCTCTCCCGTTACTGATTTCTCACTTTTCTATCTGGTGTCTCTTTCTCCCCCAGGAGTTTTAACCTCTACTACCACCTCGTGCCCAAAATACAGCCTTGTCAAACAGGAGAGAAGTCATGATGAAAATGGAATAAAAAGGCTTAGTCTCTGTATAACCTGTGTTGCCCATTTGAAATCAGGTCGTTTTGTGGATAAGCAGTATCATCCAGCTGGGACCCAGGAGACAGAGGGCCTAAATTTTTTTTATTGTTGCGAAGAAAACCTTCAAAGTCATGTTGAAGGGTCTGTTACATACATATGTGATAGGATAGCAGAATTAAGGGGCTGTGTGAGAAGCAGATGCCAATACAGAATTAAACATGCAATAATTTTATTGGGAAACTTGGGGGAGAAAATGAGGAGGGAGATGGAGAAAGTTGGGATAACCATCAGAGTACGATGCAAGTCTGACCCTAAAAGAAGAAGAGAGGAAAGAAAGGTTGAATGGAAGCTTTCTAGACAGCTGTGTAGTCTAAAGAAGGTTCAGCAAGGCTGTCAGGCCAAAGTTAGCTATTAGAGGAGACCCCTATCTCCCAGACAGAGCCAGCTTAATGAGATTGCAACCTGTAGTCACACAGGGCCCACACCTGGTTTAACGCTCTGCTGTTGCCATCTTGAAATTCTTAATAAAATTTGAACAAGGGACCCTGGGCTTGCCTTAATCTCCCTGCTGAGCTCAGTCATTGGCTAGGAGCAGCCCATGGGAAGCATACTTTAGCAAAAATGTGGCGGTGGAATTCAGGGTGAAGTAGCTGAGGCCTTTGTTCAGTTATGTTCCTATAGTTGGAGAGCTGTGAGGCATGGTCTCCTGCCTCCACACCCCACCTCCTGTGCCACATAGATCTTCTCCACAAAGGTGCAGAAAGCAGCTCCTCCATGGGCCTCCTGGCCTCCCTCTTGAGGAGCAACTGAGAAGAGGGAGTTCACTGGATGAATTAGAGTCCCCCAAGATCATCACAGTTGATCCCAAGGCCACAGTGAATACTGACCTTCTCCCTTCTCCAACATCCATTCTAAACCCCTTTCAGCCTCTGCTCTCACCTTGGCAGGTCTTGGGACTTACCTGGTGGTGTGACCCAAACCTTTATTCCTGAGGGGTTTGAACACTTGATAGTCAAAGCCTGGGGTGGCTGCATGTGTTCTAGGCACAGTTATAGTGGGACAAGGGAGTAGAGGAGATACCCACATGAATCACTGGAGTCCCACCTATATTCCTCCCGGCCCCGCGGTGTTAAAGCAGCACCCCCTCCTGATGATCAGGTTCAGTTACTCCTGCTAGTGTGGCAACTCCCCTCTTGCCTGCTTTTCCCTGACACAAAACCCCAAAGTGCCCTGTCAGCAGCCATAACTTCTCATTCAATGGGGCCTTCATTGTGCCTCTGGTGGGCCTGGACCCTCAACCACACAAGAGTCTAGGGTTGCAAGGAAAGGAAGCACAAATTCCCTGGGGGTCATCAAGAATGATGGCAAGTTAGGCCATTCCTGCTTCCACCCCTTGGTTTTCAGAGCCTTGTATCCTTCTTAACTGAGGACACAGCACCATATAGAGGGCTCTGATTTAATAAATGCACCATGTCCTGAAGAACAGCGCTCCACCATTTCAGGGTGACTCTAGAAGGCCACTCCAGCAGTCTGTGAGACCAGTTATTTCTAGGTGGTGCAGTACATGACAGAACCAGAGGATCTCATGGTTATGACCCACTCCTACCCCTCCTCCACTTGAAGTAGACCTCCTGGTTGGATACTCTGCTAAATGGGATTCCATACCTGTGGATGAGACACTTAGGCCTCCAGAGAGAAGTGTTGGCTGAGACAGTGGGCAGGGAAAATGGACAACATTCAACTGACAGTTTGTTTCAGGGTTATGTTAACTCTCTCCCACCTCCTGTCGTAATACAGTCTGAGAGATCTGGGCCTCTCTCATATCTAAGAGAGTATCATACTGATCCATCTCACTGATGACATCCAGTGACTGGACAGGATGAGCAGAGAGGCTAGAATGCTCCTACAGGCCTCGATAAGACGCATGCACTTGAGGGTGGGAGAAAACTCTATGAAGAGTCAGGAATAGACCATTTCCGTGACATTTTTTAAGAGTTCTAACCGTCAGGGGGTATTCTGGGATATCCCCTTCCAAAATCACAAACTGCTGCGTCGTACCATCCTGTCACAAAGAAGGAAGTACAGCGCCTTGCAGACCTCTTTGTGTTCTAAAGGCAACATATCCCACCCCGGGGATATCTTCTGGCCCATATACTGGGTGACACAGAGGGCTGCCAGCTTCAAGCTGAGCTGAAGCAGGAAAAGGTGTTGCAAAAGGCTCAAGCCAGCGCCGTCAGCCCTGCCGGCTGCCCTCCATGGGGTTAGATGGCTCAGTGGTGGGAAAAGACGCAGTATGGCCACTGCATGGAGCTGGGGCTCCAGCAGACCCATCGTAACCTGGACTCGATGCACGACCTCATTTTTCACCTGGTCCTCGCAGGACCTCCTCCATTCCAACAGGAGGCCCTGATGCTCCTTTGGGTCTCTCTGGATCAGGGTCAACTCAGAACCTTTTGTCCAACAGTCCTACTGTACAATTACCCAAGTAAATGGCCATCGGTTCCTTTGAGGAAGGACTGGAGGGACTGTCAAGGTCTGTCCGTGCCAGAGTGTTGCAGGGTCCTTCCTCCAGCTGCCTCTTTAGTCAGTGGATTCCAGACCTCAAAACTGCCTCAAGTCTGGGAACTGAGCAAGAGATCATGACTTGAAGTGACGGCCCTCAGCTTCTTGCTCTTCCAATTCTGAATTTTTTTTAATAAACAATGGCCCACGGACCACATCAAACCAACCACCAGTTTTCGTAAAGGAAGTTTTGTAGAAACACAGCGACACTCATTTTCGACATAGCGTCTGTGGCTGCTTTCGTACTACAACAGCTGATGGGACCTACAAAACCTAAAATATTTACTATCTAGCCCTTTACCAAAAGTCTGCTGACTCCTGTTATAGAGGCTAAGCAGCACCCTTGTTGACTATCTGCTTATTTTGCCCCCAGACGCAAAACCGACACCATGCTCTGCTAACCATCATCCCAACCCCCTGCTGCCAAAGCCCACTCACTGCCTGCCCTCCAACCCTGCCTTCTGGTGAGCAGGCTAGGTCTGGCCTTGGGGCTTCCGACAGTTAAGTGCCCCTCCTGGCCTCGATCTTCACATATGCTAACATGCTCAGTTTACAGTCACTTCTCAGAATTTCCATCATCCCCGGCCTGCAAAACTTCTTAGTGACATTGGTGCCCCTCTTGATGGCATGTCCCGTGCTCTCTCCTGGGCCATATTCTCTGTGGGTCTTCTGGCCTTACATAATATGCCCTTCCCGCATGCCCACTTCCATCGACCTCTTCATTCCTTCTTGTGCAGCCTGCCGGGATGAAGAAGAAAAGGAAGGAAGTTTGGCGGGGGAAGCATCTTAAACTGCTGAGCAGAGCTTCAGTGATGCCAAGGGCGAGTCTTGCAGCCAACAATGACCTTCGGGGAAGGCCCATCTGCCCTAGGAGCAGACCACTGGCTAGGCGCAAGCTGTGCGGAGCCTGCCTCAGTGCCAACGCAGGGGCCTGCGAGCACCGCAGCTGGGGCCCTAGGTCCGTTAGGGTCCCGGTCGGGAGAGCTGCGTGAGGCGCAGTCGCATGGCCACGATGGGAAGAGAAAAAAGGTTAGGGGGGAGGGGACACAGCCTGCTTTAAATGCCAGTCTGCATCCTTAATATCAGGTCTGACTCGGAAGGTGGCACAAGCCACTGCTCAGTTTGTCACCTCTCCTGGGGAGCTGAGGGCGGGTCAGTAGAGTAAGAGGACGCCAGGAGGGACTCAGAAACGGAAGGTGACTCGGTGTGCCTCCTCTCCTTACCATTGTACTTTCTACCAGGACGGGAAAGGGGCATCTGCCCTCCTTCAGGAGCTGTCTCTTCTGCGCTCCCCTGGTCTGACAGGTACGGTACATTTGTGGACCTCAGTGGAGGCCCAGACTGTGAGGCGGTCAACAGCCAGCAACATCTCATCCGAGATGAATTCGTTTGCCTGGATGCGGCCACTGCACTGAGCAGAGAGACTGGTGCCATTATTAAGTGAAAACAACAGTCCAGAAGCCACAAATTACAAGGTGTCTTATGTTAAGTGATGCTGGGATACTGTTAGGGCTCACCTCAGGTCTGCATGCTGACCCCCAAGGGAGACCGAATTACGCTGCGCCCTCCAGTGAGAAAACCTGGCTTCCAACTCTAGCTGTGCTCTCCCCCCACAGCCATTAAGGTGCAGAAGAGATGGAGCCGAGTGGTAGGCTCAAGATCCAGAAATGCAGCCTCAGCCAGGCAACATCGAAGGTAGCTTTCTTGAGGTGGTGGTGGTGGTGAAATGTCTCAGAACAGCCGTGATGGGAATGTCCTGGCCACTCTGGAGTGTTTGTTTCTCCTAGCGGCTTGGCTTGCTTGGCTTCTGTCAACTCCAGCATCATTATCATCTCAAGGCAAGGCCCCTGAGCCACTTCTCACCCAGTTCCAGTCTCTCCATTGTTTGTTTCTATCAGAGAGGTGTGGAGCTTCATGGTCAGCCTAGAATTAAAACAGCCTTGCAGGAAAATCATAGAGTTCTGTGCAGTCTTCCCACTCGCTTCTCTCCTGATGGAGAAACTCAGGCCTCCTCCACTTCTGTTCTTCCAATATTATCAGAATGGATTAAGAAAATTAGGAGATGAAATGATGTACCCATGTAACTTCCTATCATTAGTAGTTTTATCAAATGAGTTAAGGTAAAACTCTTAAGTTCTATTATTTATTTTTTTTAAGTTTTGTTTATTTGAGAGAGAAGAGAGCATGAGCAGGGGAGAGGGACAGGGAGAAAGAGAAGCAGGCTCCCCACTGAGCAGGGAGCCCAATGCGTGACTCGATCCCAGCACCCTGGGATCATGATCTGAGCCAAAGGCAGACACTTAACCAACTGAGCCACCCAGACGCCCTGAAGTTCTATTATTTAATCTCTGTTTCTAGGGTCTCCAGCCCCAAAAAATTCCCCTGCAATGCTTTGGGTTTTTCCTTGAACCAAATCCCAGCTCCACCCCTTGTCCTCAACTGTAAAATGGTGATAAGAATCCAGTGTTATGGTGATAACCTCCTAGCACCGCTGTTACAAGATAACACACGTAAAACAGCACCTGGCATATGACAGATGTTCCACAGAACTGGGGCTCTGAATGTTAGGCTTGAGAATAAGCTGCAAATGTACTGGGATTAGAAATCCAGCCAGAGATGAGAATACTCTAAGAAACTGAACAAAACAAGAGGAAAAAACCCAATAAGCAGTCACAGATGTGTGGCTGACAGTAGGACTGCACCTGGGTGCTGGTCATTGTCCTCTTCTTCCTTGAATTCCCGGGTGAGCAGGCATGGAGATATATACACTCCTAAGTAGCATCCTCATTATTAAATTAGATCACATGCATATTAAAACACTTGGAGGGACGCCTGGGTGGCTCAGTCCGGTAAGCGTCAAACTCTTGATATCGGCTCAGGTCATGATCTCAGGGTTGTGAGATCGAGCCCCACGTCAGGCTCCACGCTCAGCCGGAGGTCTGCTTGTCCCTCTCTTTCTCCCTTTACTCCTCTCTCTCAAATAAATAAATAAATAAAATCTAAACAAAAAAGCAACATTTCAAAAAACACAACATGTTAGAGCCACCTGAAAGACGATGACAATGTTAGGTGCTTCTAGTTGCAATAAACAGAGGTTTGTTCAGGTTACTTCAGAAATGGGAAAGGTAGGAGATGGGAGGGAGGCGTTATAAAACACCTGTGGAAAATAGTAAAAGCTCAGCAATCAAATCCCACAGGAACCTAAGAAAAGAGCTTCTACAGGAAAATTGCTCAGAATCCATGGCATTTTGAGGGGTCTGATCACCTTGTCCCCTTTTTAGAAGTGGAAGTTCATGGCTCCCTACTTAACACTTAACACTCAGCTATTCTCTGTCTGCTTCTGTGTCTTATTTCTCCTTCAATGACTAAAAGGGCTGATTCAGAGTGAGTATTCTAATACATATTCCCAAGACAGTAATCAACAAAACCAGTGAGATTCTCTGAGGTTCCCATTTAGGCAGAGTTTTTCCTGCCAGGCTAATTTTTCACCAACTGGCCTACAGGTTGGCTGCCATTGGGTCAGGTGCCCACCCCAGATTCTATCAGCTGAGGCCCAACGTGGAGGTTCAGGGGAATAAAAAACAGAACTTGCCCACAGCGAGATCTTTGGCCTGGAATGTTTTTCTTAGAAGAGGATGCTGAGTGTGGTTGATGATAGATTACACAATTGGAAAAGAAGGCGAAAATAAATAAATAAATAAAGCCCTCAAGCCCAACATCAAACTAAGACTCAGGGTCCCTGGCTGGCTCAGTTGGTAGAGCATATGACTCTTGATCTTGGGGTTGTCAGTTTGAGCCCCATGTCGGGAGGTAGACTGTACTTAAAATAATAATAATTTTTTTTAAATCTTTAAAAAAAAAACTCAAAGACTCAAAAAGTTAGAAAAGTGTAGTTGTAAATTTTATCAGACGTTCCACACAGATTACCTTCAAACACCTCACTGTTTAAACAAAAGTTCATACCGTACAGAAAATCATGACTTACTTAAAACTACAGTTGAAAACACTTGGGCCAAATTTCATCAAACCGAGACAACACTAGAACTTGTAGAACTAGGGGAGCAAAGAGAACCACAAGATGGCAGCATTACCCATGTGCTCTCTGTGCTCTCTCCGGTTACAAATCTAAGAATGTGTTCATCTGTTGAGCCTGCTCTAGAACGACCCAGCTCCTTCCTTGAAGCTATTTTTAAGAGACTGGAAGAGCCCGCAGGTGACAGAGAAAGTATAAATCTAAACAGCACATTCATTATCTCTGTGCTCATTTGATTCCCAAGATCTGACTATCATGTTTTTAGTCCAACTGAATTAATGGAAGCAGTGACTTGGATTATCCAAGGATTACAGTCTTCTGAGGCATGTTTGCATTGCAGAATTTAATCTTTTTATTGTAATATTCCTTATTTGACACTTATGGAATCCAGTTTTTTATTACAGCTATTTTTAATATCTGTATATCTGTCTCCTACTAGATTCAATTCAAGTTCTCGACCGAGGTTAATCTTCTGTGGCAACTTGGCTGGACCGTAGTATCTAGGTATTTGGTCAAATAGCAGTCGAGATGTTGCTGTGCAGGTACTTTTTTTAGGCTTAAAGAGTCCCCTCCATAATGGGGGTGGACCTTAATCAGGTGAAAGCCCCTAGACAAAAAGACTAAGGTCCCCTGAGGAAGAGAGAATTCCCTCCAGACTGCCTTTGAACTCAAGCTGCAACATCAGCTTTTCCCTGGGTCTCTGGCCTGTCAGTCTGTCCTGCAGATTTTGGAACTACCAGCCCCCACAATCATGGGAGCCAATTCCTTATAATAAATCTTTCTCCTCTCTCCTCTAAACACACCCACACATACATACACACACACCCTGCTTGTTCTGTTTCTCTGGAGAACCCTAAGACACCAACTATAGACCAGGCACAAACTGCACCACGGAATAAAAAGATGATTATGAAGTACCCTTGATCTTGAGAGGCATGTGAGCACATAACTAATACTGTTAATGAGAAGGCAAATGTATTATTAAGTACTATATAGAACACAAGAAAAAAGAAACTCTTTAGGAAGTGGTTTGGAAAACCATAAATGACATTTGAGCTGCAAAGAACGAACAGGTGTCTCAATAGGCAGACATTACAGGATGAAGGATCCTAGGCAGCGGGAACCCAGTGAGCCAAAATCAACATGTAAAAAATGGCAAAATAAGCACCACCACCCCCGTGGGATTATGTGTGACTTTAAGATACTCTAACATCCACCATTTCCCGAGCTCTATTTTGTTTTTATGTCAATATCATAAAACCTTGTAACTTAAAAAGCCAGAAACACTTATCCCAACCTTACAGTTTAGAAAACTGAGGTACACGGGGATCAAGCAAGTCCAAGGCCGAAACCAATCAGGAGTAGAAACCACAGCAGTCTGACTTCAGAAGCCGCAATTCCAACCACTATATTCCTAAAGCCCTACACACTGTAGTTTTACGATCAAAGCAGAGGCCAGAACGTTCCGATCTATATACACATTTTTGTTGCTTAGGATTCCCATATTCCCTTGCAGTATTCAATATACTTTTTGACTGTCTTTCCAAAGTTCTAATAAAAGTCAAGACTAGAATAGGGGTGAGCCACACCCATACATGCTCAGAAATTTTCAGCCCCATCCTTATCCAGACTGGAGCACTGCAAGCCTCCCAAAGCATATTAGAAATATATTTATGATCTAAACCAGAATGAACAGCTAGCTACAACCTTCTCTCCCAATTTATGATGAAGTGACAGTAGGGGGCGACCTACTAAACCTATCCTAAATAGGTGGGTTTTATTAATTTATTATTCTGTACATGCATATCAGTTTCCCCTTCTTTTCAGGCTTCACAGGTCTGCCAAAGACCATTACCATTCCCTTCTACTTCATACTTGGCCTTCCCTTGTCTCTTTCTCGATTATCATTCCCACACTGCCCCAAATTTTACCTATCTTCTCTTTGACCACCCTTCCTTCACACTGTGTTTCTATGGAATTTTTGCTCTAAGCGCTTTTTAAACTAGTCATTAGAATTGTCTCCCTGACTACTCTCTTCACTCTCTTAATGGCTTTGAAATAAACCTAGTCTCACCCAAATGCTAACCAAAAGACTGGATGGCCCTCTGGCCTCATACATGCAAACAGAGCTAAAGCAGTATGAACATGCAAGAGAACAAATCTTAAATATCTGATTAATCTGTATAAACACAGTCTTTGAACAAATACACAATATAGGAACTACCTGGGTGCCTGACTGGCTCAATGGGTAGAACATGCAACTCATTTTTTAAGATTTTATTTATTTATTTGAGAGAGAGAGAGAGAAGGCATGAGCAGGGGGAGGGGCAGAGGGACAAGCTGACTCCCCAGGGAGCATAGAGCCCAACGCAGGGCTTTATCCCAGGACCCTGAGATCATGACCTGAGCTGAAGTCAGACACTTAACCAACTGAGCCACCCAGATGCCCTGAGCACGCAACTCTTGATCTCCAGGTTGTGAGTGAGTTTAAGCCCCAAGTGTGGTGTTGAGTTTACTTAAAAAAAAAAACAAAAAATAAATAAATAAATAAAACTGCATCCAAAAGGAAAACCTAGAAACTAATTTTTTTAAATATATGCACAGTGAGGTTTGGAGGTTTAATAATTAAAAATCATTGCTTTGAAAGAAATTTTATACATACATAAAAGAACCTAATGAAATCTATAGATCCAATCTTGGGAAACACATATATACAAAATTCTAGGAGAGATTTATGAGAGTTCATGTTCCCCTCAAAGGCTATCCACATAAGTCCCCGGACTCCCAGATTAAAAAAATTAAAAACCTGACCTAAAATATCCTATCAGTTGGAAATCTCCATTATTTACAGGTGATTCATGCAGGGATCCTCTACCAAATCACTAAAAGTTGTAGTTATTAAAAAAAATAATAAATAAATAAATAAATAAATAAATAAGTTATATTTATCATTTCTATTTTCAAATAACTTCATGAAGTTGGGTGATTTCAACCAGAATCTTTTCACAAGACTTTCTATCATCTTTTTTTTTTTTTTTAAGATTTTATTTATCCATTTGACAGAGAGAGAAAGAGCACACAAGCAGGGAAAGCAGCAGAGGGAGAGGCAGCAGACTCCCCGCTGAGCAGGGAGCCCGACGTGGGGCTTGATCCCAGGACCCTGGGATCATGACTTGAGCTAAAGGCAGGTGGTTAACTGACTGAGCCACCCAGGCGCCCCTCTATCATCTTTCTGTAAAGGATTTCATGAGTAGCCCAGTCATTTTCTGATACAATCTACAGGAAACATTAAGTAGATGACAGGAGAGGAAAGCAAAGGAATGAAATGTTTGAAATAATAATACATAAAGGGAAATATACAGTGCTACATACAAAACAGAGCTTCATAAAGGACCTGGGATAATTCAGAGACCTTTTTTTTTTTTTTTATTAAATGTGTAAAAAGTAGTCCACATTGTACAAGCTCAAAATCAGACAAATGTACAAGGGTGTGTAACTGGCATATTATGAACTGTATACACCCAAACACTCACTGCAGACACAATCCATATTACATTCAATGTCTGCATATTTACATAATACCGACTGTAAAGTAAATACAAAATTAACTGTCATCATTTTAGTTCAGTATATATGTGATATAGTTCAAAACAAAGGCAATTTTTTTTCCACCAAAAAACCAAAGGTAATTATTTTCAAGCCAAGTACCAATTCACCATATTGTGCAAAAATATTTCAAGACTAATATAAAGGGTTCCATTTAGGTTTAGTCAGTAAGATATATTTCTATGTTACTGAAATACAGCTAAAGTTTTAGATTGTAATTACCAATGTAACAGTACTTCTGATTTACAACTGACCTAAAAATAGTGGTTGTTAATATATATTCTTGACATTTTAAAAAATCTTCAAAACTTAAATACAATTCTAAAAGTATATGTGCCTTGCCACTCACTCAATAAACATGATTTATTTTAATACAGATCACAAAAGTTCAATTAATTAACCAGAATTCTGTATCTATTTCCTGCCTGCTATCTATTTCAGTCTTAAATCTAACTTTATTTCAAAAGCAGCAGTTCAGAATTTCATAAGATTAATCCCAAGAGTTACTGGGTAGCTTTTAAACTATTTCATTCCTTATAAATATAAATCACAATCTAGATGAGTGGTCCCCTGTATTAGAATTATGTGGGGAGCTCTTAAAATTTGCATGGGCCCCACCTCAGAACTAATGATCAAGAATCTTCCAGAATGTCTGTTTTGTTTTGTTTTGAAGTTCTCAGGTGATAATGGCATGCAGCCTAGTGTGAACCTCTGACCTAGACCACTAGACCAGTGGGTCTCAACTTTTAAGGTACATCAGGAACCACTTGGGGGGGGACAAAAAAAAAAAAAGACAAAACAAACAAATAAGTAGATTTACTTCAGTTAGATTGAAAGTGGTGTCCAGGAACCAGCATTTTAAATAATCATTGTAGCTAGCCCACAAACCACTCTGAAAAACAACGCATAGCCTTATATAAATGAGTACATTCAGCAATTTAGGTGACATTGTCCTGCAAGTGCTAATGAATCCTGCCCCAGGCAAGTTTTAGCTAGTGTTTGAGGGCAAATGTAGCCTTTTAAGATAAAATATATTTATATTTTTAAATATCCAGTAAAGTGAAGTAAATTGTGAGATCATTAATTCATTCATTAAAGGGACCGGCTTTCCAATAAACTGTTTAAACCTTTAAATAGACCAGTTTTTAGCAGTCAACTTAACTCTAATGCCCTCTCCATGGTTAATTAGCCTGATATGAGATCAGAGGTAGTGATTCCAGCTTACCAAAAATGTAATGTAGACTATAAAAGATACACAATTCTAAGCATACACCTTTATAGGTTCCGTACAGTCTCTATGTAATAGAGATCAAAGACCAGTTGGATATTAAATAATACTAAAACAATGAATAATCTCAATCTTAAAAAATGAAACTTCATGTGCTTTTCCCTCGAATAAGTTCCTACTAAAAATATTGAGGGGAACAATCCAGAAAACACTCAAGGTATCATGCTGCCTCTTTTGTGAAGAAGCTATTTGCTCATTTTCCACCATTCTTATCATTATCTATAAAATGGGTAGTTGGTATAGATATCATTCTACTTTATGAATTTTTTTAAAAGCACAGAAAAACTAACCACATATAAGGCCACACAGCAAATCAGACGATAGACAGAACTCGCGATTAGACCTTCCATTTGGAAAGTTGGAGTCTTATCAATTTGGCAACTGTATCTCAGTGTGTGACAATTCTGACTAAGTATTATAAATACTGAAGCATATCTGAGCACGTGACAGCTCTATCCCCCCTGCCAAACGTTAGGAGTAGGATCATCTATTTTCAGCGCAGAGAGTACATGAGAACGAGAGAGTAACAACATAAGGAAGCAGAGGGGATGGTTAGCAGGGTCTATCTGGAATCTTGCCCACCTGTCCCATGTCTAAGATGCTATTTCCTGTGTACACATGTCTCCATCGTGTTCTTCACAAAGGCTTATACCACCTCTTTTCCGATGGCATATGTGATGGAACAGTTAGCATTTCTTCTGAACCAAGCAATGAAACGGCAATTACCAAAAACCAGCACTGTGTTGCCAGAAAGGCAAGTCATTCCATAAATAAGAAACTGAATCTTTTAAATCCATGCTTACCAAGATGCTACAAAACTCATCCTAGTTTTTAATCACTTAGAGTCTAGACCACTTTCCAGTTTATAAACCATTCAAGGCCAAAATAATGAATTTGAAAATTAGCAGAACAGAAGCTGGAAAATTACATGTAAATCCTCAAACTGAGTGACATATGTCTTCTACTTGGGGGGGGGGAAGCTTCCTGAATGCGAAAGTGAAGATATGGAGACAGCAGTCCTGGGGAAAGGACTGCGAGATGGGAGACAGTGGCATAAGGCACTACCCTCACCCCAGCCTACCCTGAGGTCACCCTGGATGCCGGCCACACGGGCAGGGAAGGGCGAACACACATGCGCACTCGGCTTCTCACGTCCTCTTAGCTGGTTTGGCAGTTAACTGCTTTTCTCTTTCAAATTCCTTCTCGCGTTGCTGCTCCCTTTCCAACTCCTCTTTCTGCCTCTTCTGCTGTAGCTTAAGTGCTCTTTTCTGTGTCAAAAAAATTTAAAACCAAGAGAACAATCAAGGCTTATTGGTTGTGGCCTCATTTCAAAGCAGCAGTGCTCTGACTTAAGGTAATCCACATGCATTAATAAATTTCATATTTAACTTTTAAATCTGCTCTGGATAATTTAAGGTCCCCCTTAATATAAAAAATTTTTTTTAATTTCTTACTCCAAACTCTTACTGAATGAGAACAGCAGGGACAATGAAAACACGAGCTCCTTAGCCCAGCTATGAGTAGAAAAGCCCAGAGTAGTATGTGTTTTAAAAGAAAACAGTGAACCATTAATTAAGTATGTTATTGAATATGGATATCTAAGAAGTCAGAAAATGAATACTGAAAAAAACAAACAAACCTCTGCTTCTATAAAGAATGTAAAAGAATTGTCAACTCACTTTTAACTTCGACGTCTTTTCATGAAGCATCAACATCTCTTTTCTTATATTCACCAACTTGGCATGATAGTGTTTAGCTTCAGTGAACTAAACATGGAAAAGGAAATGAAAAGTCAAGTTAAAATAGGCTGAAATTAAAAAAAAAAAAAGGGAAAAAACAGACATTTTGAAATAGTAAAATGGACAAGTTATAAATTACAGTTCATTCTGCCTCAACCAGTCACATCTTTTAAAGCCTTATTATCTCATTTTAATGCCAAAATTCAAATTTCATTTAAACCACTAATAGGTATTTGAAAACATTTGATTCAGTTCAAATTGAAAAAAAGAGTTACTAAACATAAAATAGACATTTATATTGTGTACAGGTAACATTTTGCTTTAAAAACATGCAATATAATCCTAAAATTTTATTAAGACTATCCAGTAATGCTATCAGTTTCATGTAAGTAAAAGGAGAACACTCTACTGTCTTTACAGGGGAGAGCCTGAGCAGGGTACACAGGACAATTTCAGTGAAGTGGCCGCCCATCAGGAAAAACCAAGCTATGGCCAGAGAATCCTGAGAGGGCTGTGGACAAATCTGGTCATGTTCCTTGGGCTTCTAAAGTGAGACCACGCAGAACCACCTCTGTAAGGACACTTTTCTTCCCAAGTCACGGTATGTATGGACATTCCATCTCAGCCAGAGATGGGAGCAAAAGAAAAAAGCACCTCATTCTCAGGAGCCAAGGTTAACAGAAAGAGAAGACCAAGTAACAAGAATAAGAGATGTGTTGTAAAGAAATTAGCAACCTACATGTATCTACAAGTAAAGTCTTAGTCTGATGAACTCTAGAGCTTACAGATCCTCTCCCCCCCACCCCCACCCCACCCCAGGCCTTACAGTTCTCAGTTCCTGAATGATAATCAAACCACTCTTGGGCTGAGAGAGGAAAAAACAGGAAGATCTCTGCAAACTGAAGCAACACTATTACATCTGCTTGGTTCATTCATTTATCACTCATTCACTCAGCAAATGGTTGTTCTGCTGCAATATGAATTCAGTGGGGAAGACAAAAGTAGGTCAGCGTAGCCTTGTCCACCTCCTTCAGAACAAGTCAGAAAACCATTAAGTGAAAGACTTTGTATTTACTACCCCAGGCCTCTGCCTATTGCTACAGAAGATGAACTCTGTTTTTGATCATTATAAAGGGAAAACATTAATGAGCCACATTTGTTCAACAAAAAGTTCATTTTTTGACATAGGTATGAAAGTCCACAAAATCATACAAACCAAGCTACTGCTTAATGTTGAGGTGAAAAGAAAGGTAGCCAAAAGTTCCTTATTTTTGTTAATTCCCTGTTTCTTAAAATAGAGTATCAGTTCCTCTCATCAAAAAGCTATAAAGCTTCTGATGAAATTCACTATTGTCACATACACTGAAAGATATAAAGGCTCTATAAAGGACCCCCCAAAGGGTCCATTTCAGCATTAATATGTTATGACACTATGAATAGGCCATACAATTAAATAAAATGTTGATTTTTAAGAAGTCTTGTAATTGATTAGGAGAGATGCACTCTCCTTAAGGGGAAACCCAGTACCCCAAAAGTTCCTTACTTTTAGTTCTTTTAGTTCTCTTAGTTCTCTTTTAGAAGTCTTTAATTATTATGAGCAAATCTATTCTAGACTTTAACAAAAAAGTTCCATTTTCTATTACAAGTTCAACATTTGAAAGATAACAATTCAAGACAATGGAAATTCTAGTGAAGTAAATAAAGGTTTCCTGTTAAAAGACAAATCCTAAACATTAAAATTAGAGGAAAAGATCCTAAATATACCTGAGTACAAAGTTGCACGGGATAAACCTAGTTATTTCTAAGCCAAGCTCTCATTACACTGTGTCAACTAAATCATACTTACCAAAGCATTAATATCCAACATAGAATGACATTCTTTAAATTTTGAAATCTCCTGTTCCAGTGTGTCTAGTAATACAACTTGGTTCTGTCTGAAACAAAAGCACATAGCCAAAATAAACTGTACATACTGTAAGTGCTGGAATCACATTTCATCTTAGTTAATGTCAAAGGTAAAAATTAAGTTGAAAATGTATTACCTCTACAAGGCTTACTTGGTTTAACAAAATCTTTTTCAAAATAATATTCCAGGGGCGCCTGGGTGACTCAGTCGGTTAAGCGTCTGACTCTTGATCTCAGCTCAGGTCTTGATCTCAGGGTCATGAGTTCAAGCCCCACATTGGGCTCCACACTGGGAATGTGGAGCCTACTTTAAAAAATATAATCATAATCATAATATTCCAAAGCCACATTCTGGTAACTGTATCTTTTATTCTTGCCTAAATGAGTAGTAATTCTAATAACTGAATCTAACTGTAATAACTGAAATCATCAAATCATTTAAAATCATTTTGTTACTTGTTATTTCTAGCAACTCTCTGTATTATCCAAAAAAAAAGTTTTTTTATACTATCTTGCCCCAAAAACTTGATTTTATGTATATTAAAACGGCAAAATTACCATAAAGGAAATGGGAAGCAATGACTTTTTAGATTAGAGTTGGGGAAAATGCACTATCAATGGATACCTCAAAAGAGGTAAATAAGAAGATGAAAAAACAGGACTAGGAAACACAAGATTCCCCACCAATAACAAGCTGTGTGATCTTGGAAATTTAGTTTATCTCTCTGGGCCTAAATTTCTTTATTTATAAAGTGAGAAGGTCAGACCACATAACTTCTAAGGGTCCTCATTAAAATTCTGATTCAAAACCTTCTATTAAAGAACAGAAGCCAACTTCCCTGACACTCCTCTCCAGATCAACCAGTGCTAGGATCACAGGAATAAGTAACACTGAGAGGGCCACTGAATTAAACATTTTAAAGAATACTACAGGGAAAGCAAAATATGACATGATTTACTTGCAAAACTATGCTAAACAGAGAATGATGAAAAAAGAAACAGCAATGAAGAGAATGAAGAACAGTTACAAAATCTCCACCATCCAGCAAGGAGTTTGGCATACCCCCCAGGTCACAAGTTTGTCCGTTCTGCTCTTGAGTAGAGACCACAAAAAGGGAAATACACAACAACTAAGAAGAGAATCCAGCAAGTCAATGACCCGACATAAGCAGGATGGCAATGACAGACTGTTACAACTAGAGAACGGTAAAGAGAAATCAATAAAGCCAAAAGTTGTTCTTCAAAAGATCAATAAAATTGACAAACCTCTGGCCAGACTCACAAGAAAAAAAAAAAGAGAAGACACAAATTACTAACATTACTTATAGAAGAGAAATCATCACTGATTCCCTGGATATTAAAAGGATCAGAAGAGAATATTTTCAACAATTCTGTCCACAAAATTGATTACTTAGATAGAAACGACTAATTCCTTGAAAGACACAAACTTCCAAAACTCATACAAGGAGACACAGATAATCTATGTAGGCCTATATTTGTTAAAGGAATTCAATCAGTAAGTAATAACCTTCCAGAAATGAAAATACCAGGACCAGATGCCTTCACGCGTAATTTCTACCAAACATTTAAGGAAGGAATTATAACACTTCTCCACAATAGCGTCCAGAAAACAGAAGCAGAGGGAGCGCCTCCTAACTCATTCTATGAAGCTAACATTATACTAAAACCCAAACTAGATAAAGATATTACAATAAAGGAAAACTATAGACCAATATCTTTCATGAACAGAAATGCAAAAAAATCCTCCACAAAATATTAACAAAACAAATCCAACAATATAGAAAAAGAATTATACACCACAACCAAATGACATTTATTCCAAGTACGCAAAGCTGGTTCAACATTTGAAAATCAATCAGTGAAATCCAAGACATCAATAGAGTAAAGAAAAATCATTTGGTCCTATTACGTGATGCAGAAAAGGTATTTGATAAAGTCCAACACCATTCGTGATTAAAAACTCTCAACAAACTAGAAAGAGAGAGGAATTTCCTCAACTTGATAAAAAAACATTTAAAAAAAAAAAAGCCTATAGCTAACATCACGCTTGTGAGAAACTAGATGCTTTCCCCTTATGATAAGGAGTAAAAAAGATTGTCTGCTTTTATTATTCCTATTCAACATCATACGGCAAGTTCCAGCTAATGTAATGAGACAAGAAAAAGAAATAAAAGGTACACAGGTTGGAAAGGGAGAAATAAAACAAAACTGTCTTTATTCACAGACGACATGACTGCCTATGTGGAAAATCCCCCCACAAAGTATATGAGTTTCAGCATACCAGGTTAATGTATAAAAGTCAGGAGTCAATAATTAGAAAAATCAATACCACTTACAATAACCCCCTTCATATAACTACTTTGATATAAATCTAACAAAATATACACAGGCATTATATGCAAAAACTATAAAACTCTAATGAAAGAAATAAAAAAAAATCTAAGTAATGGATATTCCAACCAAATGGAATAAAAAACTCAATACTGTTAAGATATCAATTCCTCCCAACCTGATCTAAGGATTCTATGCAATCTCAATTTAAGTCCCACCAAGTTATTTTGTAGATATCAACAAACTGATTCTAAAATTCACACAGAAAGGCAAAGACAGAATAGCCAACACACAATGAAGAACAAAGTTGGAACACTTAACACTACCCAGTTTCAAGATTCACTATAAAACTACAGAAGTCAAAACAGCATGATTAATGGTGAAAGAACACATTGATCAATGGAACAGTACAGAAAGCTCTTAAATAGACCCACACAAATATAGTCAACGGTTCTTTGACAAAATAACAAAGGCAATGCAGTGGAGAAAGGATAATCAAAGGTGAGAGAACAACTGGACAGTGATGTACAAAGAAATTAACCTAAACACAGACCTTATAATTTCACAAGAATTAACTCAAAATGGACCACAGATCTAAATACAAAATGTAAAACTAAAACTCTAAAAAGTCTAGAAGGAAACACAGGAGGAAATCTAGGTGACCTTGGTTTAGAGATGAATCTTTACATGAAATATCATAAGCACGATCCATGAAAAGAAAATGTTGGTAAGTCAAACTTTTAAAATTAAAAACTTCTAAAATAAATAAATTAATTAAATTAAATTAAAAACTTCTGCTCCGGTACCTGGGTGGCACAGCTGGCTAAGTGTCTACCTTCAGCTCAGGTCATGATCCCAGGGTCCTGGGGTCGAGCCCCAACATCAGGCTCCCTGCTCAGCCCGGAGCCTGCTTCTCCCTCTGCCCCTCCCTGCCCACTCATGCACGCGTGCACTCTCTCTCTCTCTCTGTTGGAAATCAATAAATAAAATCTTTTTAAAAGATAAATAACTTCTGCTCAAAAACAAAAAAAAAATAAAACAAAAAAAAAAACTTCGGCTCCGTAAAAGACACTATCACAAGTGTCTTTTTATACTTAGAGAGTAAAGCCCCAATACAATTTTTGGGGATATATATGCATATAACGCCTGTGTATATTTTGTTAGATTTATATCAAAGTAGTTATATGAAGGGGGTTATTGTAAGTGGTATTGATTTTTCTAATTATTCACTCCTGACTTTTATACATGAACCTGGTATGCTGAAACTCATATACTTTGTGGATTTTGGGGGATTTTCCACATAGGCAGTCATGTCATCTGCGAACAAAGACAGTTTTATTTGTTTTATTTCTCCCTTTCCAACCTGTACAAGACGCTTGTAATTTCCCAAATGACAGGAGTATCTTCATTACTCACAAACCCCTCTTGGAGCATGCCAGAGTTTATGCTAATGAGGTGATGCGGGATGGACATGCGAGAAAGATCATGTGGTTACAGAGTTGGGGCTTTGAACTTTTGTGGTATCAGTCCACGTGATACCATTACTGCTATCAGTCTTCTCTCCACAGAAAGGAGGTGGGGGGAGGGTGCTGGAGAGTGAGTTCAATTACATGGCCAATGATCCAATCAATTATACTTAGAGAGTAAAGCCCCAATACAAACTTTAAACACTGAAGCTCAGCAGAGATTCCTGGTTGGTAAACACATCAATGTGCCAGGAGGGTAACGTGCCCTAATTTCACTAGGAGAGGGGCGCCTGGGTGGTTCAGTCGGTTGGGTGTCTGCCTTCAGCTCAGGTCATGATCCCAGGGTCCTGGGATAGAGCCCCGCGGCTTCCTGCTCAGTGGGGAGTCTGCTTCTCCCTCTCCCTCTGCCTGTAGCTCCCCCTGCTTGTGCTCTCTCTCTCTGTCAAATAAATAAATAAAATCTTTAAAAAATAATAATAATAACGTCAATAGAAGGCATAGCAGCTCTGTGATGGAGATACTCCCAAACCCTGACCTTATGTGTCCCTTCATTTGGCTGGTCCTGATGTGCATCCTTTATAATAAAACGGTAATTATAAGCGTGTTTTCAGGGCGCCTGGGTGGCTCAGTCTGTTAAGCACCTGCCTTTGGCTCAGGTCCCGGATCGAGCCCTGCGTGAGGCTCCCTGCAGTGGGGAGTTTGCTTCTCCCTCTCCCTCTGCTCCTTCCCCTACTCATGCTCTCTCTCACTCTCTCTCTCTCAAATAAATAAATAAAACCTTAAAAAAAAAAAAAAGTAGTGTTTTCATGATCCATAAGTCTAGACACTCTAGAAAAAGATTCCACAGAATACTTAGCTACAATATCAGGCAGAAATGACTGGCTTTCCTTTCCCTTTAAGTTCTGTATAATCTGTGGCACATATGCTGGGAGTGACTGGGAAGCCCTGACGCAGTAACTGGGGAACGATCCTCTGAGAAAAAAACTATTTCCCTGGAAGGTCCAAGCATGAATTATCTCAAAGGGAACCCCACTAAGGCTACTTACAAGTACCTTGCCAGAGACTTTTAGGACCTAGATCCCAAACCTCTTTTTTCTTTCTTTCCAATGTTCTTAAAATGATGAACACATGTACAAGAATATTCATAACCTTTCTTATATATAAAGTCAAGTTTTGTTCTTGGTCTTCCCTACCCGTTGTTAGCTACAAAGTAAACTTGATTTGTGTCTACCACTACCTTCTCCTTCACCTCTGTAGGCCTATTTCTATAATGTAAAGTGGCTTAATGAAAATTAAACTGTTTGATAACACAGCCAGGACTGGATCCCAGGTGCCTCTCAGTGCAGTACTCTTTCCCCTAAATCTTTACCAGCGGTGGGATTTGTGGAGAGAGGGATGAAAGAGGCGGCTACTAGAAAACATCTTTTTTCCTTTCGCTGAAGTTTGCTTATCTTTCCTTAACACTACAGAGGTATAATAACTGCTTATTCATCATATTTAATTATTAATTCTACCACTAACCACTGGCTGTGTAATCCTTTTCAATTTACTTAAACTTCCTGGACCTCAGTTTCCTCAACTATAAACAGGAATAATATTAACACTTCATAAGGTGTCAGGATTGAGATACAGTATATAAAGTGCTGGGCAAGTAGTCTATATAGTAATAGTAATAAACAGCAGCTGAGTTTACTATCATCATCGTCATCATCGTCACCATCGTCATTTAGGTGCCTTGGAAGATAAGTGGGATTATTTAAAACACTAAATTTTAGCCAATGTCATCAATTAAACTCTGCAATTAATCTGTGCTTCCCAGCTCCTGGGGAATGATCCTCTGAGAAAAAAACTATTTCCCTATCCAGATATGTTTTGCTTGCAGTTTCTTACCTTCCTTCAGTCTAACATACTTCATCCAAACTCCCCTATGAAATTTTTATGACTTTTTGCCACGAGAATTGACTGGCTTTAAAATACAAGGAATACCACACACTAGGGAAAAAAAAATGTCATTGGAACTAGCAGAAAATTGCTAGTTGCAGGATTGCTGGCAACTCCCTAACTCCAGGAGTGTACCACAGAGTAGAACACAGTACCACTTTCATACTCACTTACGGCCTTCAAATCCAAGGATTATAACATTCCTTACGAATATGTACAAAATGGACACAGTTGTTGATTGTTACTCCCCTTTTGCCCTAATACGGGCTTTTTTGTTTTTTAAGATTTTAATTATTTATTTGTCAGAGAGAGAGAGCACAAGTGCACAAACAGTGGGAGCGCCAGGCAGAGGAAGAGGGAGAAGCAGGCTCCCCACGGAGCAGGGAGCCCGATTCGGGGCTCGATCCCAGGATCCCGGGATCATGACCTGAGCTGAAGGCAGATGCTTAACTGACTGAGCCACCCGGGCGCCCCGAATACAGGCTTTTCAGGTAAGTTTTCAAAGGGTAGGTCTTAGAGCAGCAACAGCTCATAGCCGGTCCATAGCTGACAAGCACAAAAAGCAATGATAGGCCAGCGTGAGCAACTAAGCGAGGTCCTACCCAAAAGGAAGTAGAAGTTCAGTCTGCTTTTCTGGGTGGGAGCTGATAAACTTAGTATATATTTTGCATACTGATCCTACTTCATGAAATCCCGTTCTTCTCTTGGTCTATCCTCCAATCCTTTAGTTAGATAGGCTTATCTACTAGAAATGAAATGGGTCCTCTCAAAAAAAGATAAAAGATTTTTGGCAACTCATGTGAACCAGCGACTGAAAATGAATGTGGCTCTTATGGAGGCAATTTTGCAACACTACTCAGAAACGGGTGTGTGCCCATCCTGCAACACTCCCAGTAGGTAATATTTTCATAAAATAATGGCAAAATACCAAAACTAATCAAATAGTCCAGATCAGATCAATAGTCCAGGTGGTGCAGCTGGTTGGGCACAGATCAGATTTAGGGGTACCTCTTATAAAAGACCAAACACTCTAGGAGTACTTTTTACATTTAAAGTTTTATTCACTTAAGTAATCTCTGTGCCCAATGTGGGGCTTGAACTCAGGATCCCAAGATCCAGAGTCACATGCTCCTGCTTCTGGGACTGAGCCAGCTGGGCGCCTCTCACTTTTTACATTTAGATTACTAAGTACTCCCTCACTCCCAACTGCTACCACTAAAGACAGAAATACTCAACTGTATTAAATGTTACAAAATGTTATGCCTTAATACAGTTTATATACAAGGGGAAAGGAGTGCATGGAAGGTTTTTGTTAGCTCACGTGAGTTCCTGAAGAGCTTGTTTTGATCTCTGCAGATCCGGCAGGTAGTGAGAAAGCAATCCTTCTGCGAGCTGCTCCACAGCTTTGTCCTCTACAGTCAAGTCCTCTAGTAACCCTTCATCTGGAGAAGCGTCCCTTAAACCTGTCCCCAAGAAAAAATCAAATGTAGGAGTTGTGTAAATGGACATGGGGTAAGAGAGTAGTGGGGAAGGCGGGGGCTGGCTCTGGGGTTCAGAGTACACACACAGGACACTACGGGCAGCCTTCCTTTGCTTTTTTTAGCTTTACCTTCCGAGCATCCTCTAAAAAACAAGATACGGGCATTCAAAAAATGTTTTTAAGCTACTGGTATAAGGAAAAGTCTGGATTAAAAGAACATTAACACATGCAAAACATATTCTGTATGTTTATGTATTTTCCAAGGCAGAGGATTTACAGTTTTCAATGGATTATTAAGAGTCCGAGGCCTAAAAATGGGTAACAGTCACTGAATGAAAGCAATAAATTCTTCTTTTCATAAGCATGCAGAAATGCAATGCCTAAAAAAATTTTTTTTCAATTGAATGTAATTCAATTGATGTGGGTCAACATTTACTTTGCAAATAGCTTGATATATTATTTCCATGTAAAAGGAAGGTTGTTTTATCATTTGTTAGAAGGAGAAAGATTTCCAAAGGATTTCTCTTGAGACTCAGCACCTTAATTTACCATAGAAAATAGTGTATAATAATTGCATGTAAATCTCGACGTGATGCCAGGAACTATGCTTCATACTTCTCCTTTGAATAACAGTGTAAGCACTGTCAGCCATTCAAAAACATCTAAAATAAATACCCATCAATCACTACTCCTACCAAGAAAAGTACAAAACAATTTCTAAACAGGGTTCGATGAATGGTTTGTAAGATTTTAGAATCATTGGTTTAGAATGAGAAAAAAAAAGTGACATGGTCATATTACTAAAATTGTACTCTAAAAGCATTTTTATATATTAAACTCTGAAACATCTCCATTTAATCATAATCTGGTAGTAATTAGTGACAGCAAATTGATCATTATATAAAATATATTTATTATGGCACACTACAGCTCATTTCCAAATACAGTTTTTACCACAGATGTAAATTTTGGCAAGACTGAGAAAAACAACATGTCGTCATACCCAAAGTAAGTTTTCATAGATAAAAAAAAAAATAGTTTGATTTTTATTTTGATTCTGAGAAATATATGAACAAACTTTGGAATTCTCTAAGTAGCAAGGCAATATTCAAACAGGTAAGAACTAACTAGAAACTGAAGCAGTGCACAAATGAAATAAAAATCTAACGGGAAAGGGGTACCTGGGTGGTGCAGCTGGTTGGGCACTGGGCTCAGGTCATGGTCTCAGGGTCTTGCGATCAAGCCCCGAGTTGGGCTCTGGTCAGCGCGGAGTCACTTGGGATTCTCTCTCCCCCTCTCCCTCTGCCCTTCCCCACCGTGTGCATGCACTCTCTCTCTCAAATAAATAAATAAATCTTTAAAAAATACATGTAATGGGAAAAAGTGGAGTTTTACAGATATTGCCACTGATGTGCCATCAGATGGGAAGTGAATAAAGTGTATCTGAAAATTAATGCCATTGCTTAAGGCTTAATTATAGTAACAGGGCAAACAGCAACTCTCTTTAAGGATATACAGAAAACAAGTATTACAGATAAACAACAGAAACACCCAAATAAGGATATGTCAACTTTAAGGAATCACAACCAATACACTTCCCCTACATTATTTAAACATTTTAACTCACAGACCTCCCCTACTCTACCCCAATCTTCTGGTTAATTATGGAAGAGTCCAACTTACATTTCTAAATACATCAAGTTACTAAATTCAAGGTACTTTACTGTGGGAGATTAAAGAAAAAGAAAAAGAAAGGGTCCTTACCCTCCTCATACAAGAAATATTAGCTACACACTTGTATTAATACTAGTACTAGTGTACTAGTTTCCAAGGTTACAAGAATAAACTAAGCAAGTCCCCTTCTCTGAAAGGGCTCGATACAGGGGAATCATAATATATGAGAAGTGCCATTAGAGAAAAAGAAACTGTTATGGGAATTCAGAGGAGAGAAAGATCATGTTTATCAGGGAAGTCTGGGAACAACTTCTAAAGGAAGTGTGGGAACTGGAGCTTAAGGTTGCAGAATGGATAGAAATTTCTTTTTAAGTATTACTCATTGTAAAAACTTGAAATGCAAAAGAGGGAAGTATAAGCTGAAAAGTAAAAATACTCTTTCTTGGGGCACCTAGTCTGGATCATTTGGTACAGCATGCAACTCTTGATCTTGGGGTTATGATTTTGAGCCCCACATTGGGTGTACAGATTACTTAAAAAACAAAATCTTAGGGGCACCTGGGTGGCTCAGTCAGTTGGGCATCTGCCTTCGGCTCAGGTCACGAACCCGGGATCGAGCCCCGCATCAGGCTCTCTGCTCAGTGGAAAGCCTGCTTCTCTTTCTCCCTCTCCCTCTGCCTGCCACTCCCCCTGCTTGTGTGCTCTCTCTGTGTCAAATAAAGATATAAAATCTAAAATAAATAAATAAATCTTAAAAAAAAATACTCTTTCTCACTCCCTTACTCCACTCTGTAGTTTCACACAGAGCCTTCAAAAAAATTGTCTCTGTATACCCATGCATAAACCCTGTTTTTAGGGGCACCTGGGTGGCTCAGCTGGTTGGGCAACTGCCTTTGGCTCCAGTCATGATCCCAGGGTCCTGGGATCCAGCCCCATGTCGGGCTCCGTGCTCAGGGGGGAGCCCGCTTCTCCCTCTCCCTCTGCGGCTCCCCCTGTCTGTGCTCTCCTGCTCTCTCTCTGACAAATAAATACATAAAATCTTTAAAAAAAAAACTATTTTAATCGTAAATGAAATATTATGCATATTGTTCTCTTAAATATACATCTTAGGTATCTTTCCATATGCATATATATGCATCTACTACATTTTTTTTTTAAGATTTTTTTTTTTAATTTATTTATTAGAGAAAGAGTGAGAGAGAGAGCACAAGAGGGGGTAGGGTTAGAGGAGAAGCAGACTTCCCACCAAGCTGGGAGCCCGATGTGGGACTCGATCCCGGGACTCCGGGATCATGACCTGAGCCGAAGGCAGTCGCCCAACCAACTGAGCCACCCAGGCGCCCACATCTACTACATTTCTAACAGAAGCAAATTCTACCATATTTTGTTTACCAGTTCTCTGTTATGGACTGAATGTTTGTGTCCCCCACCACAAAATTCTTTTGTTTAAGCCCTAACTTCCAACACAAAGGTATTTGGAGGTGAAGCCTTTGGAAAGTAATTAGATTTAGATGAGGTCATGAAGGTGGGGCCCCATGATGGGGTTATTATTCTTAAAAGATAAAGAGAATCCAGAACTCTCTCCCTCCACTATGTGAGGACACAATGAGAAGGCAGCAGTCTGCAACATCAGAAGAGGGATCTTACCAGGAACCTGACTGGCCAGCACATAGATCCTGGACTTTGTAGAACTCCAGAACTTCAAGGAATAAAAGTCTGTTGTTTAAGCCACCCAGCCTATGGTACTTTGTTGTAGCTGCCCATGTAGACTAAGATACCTAAGGATAGGTATTCAAGTTATTTTCACTTTTTGCTATTTCAAACAATGTTGCCATGAGTTTCCTTGCTTGTCTTTGCATATCCATGTCAATGTTTCTGTAGGATAAATTCTTAGAATGATGGGACAAAGGGTTTATGCATTTCTTAAACAGACATCGCAAAACTGCCTTCCTAAGATAGGGCACCAATTTATACTCCTACCAACAGTCTTTGAAGGCCACTATTTCCAAATGGGTAAGAATTCTAAAGGAGTGGAAGGAATTCCATATGGTTTAAAAAAAAAAAAAAGGCAGCAGAAGAAAGGTGGGAATATGGTATTGCTCTGGAAAGAGAAGGTAGTTTGGAGTGTCTAGAACATAGGACATATGCAATAGTGAGCTTATAAAACCATGGGGCCAGCCCATGAGGATCCCTGAGTGTCAAGTTAAGGGGTTTGGCCGTTTGGCTAGTAAATAGTAAGGAGCCATTTTAAGGTTTCCAAGCAAGAAAATGACATGACTGGAGCTTCATCTTGGAGCAGTGATATGACAACAGTGGGACAGTTGCAGTGGAAGAATAAGAGACTGGAGGTGGATAGCCTTACAACTGGCCTTGAAGGTGAAACTACAGAGAAGAGACGGAAATTGCATAGTAGAATCCCCTAGACTAAATAGAGGTAGGAGGCAAGTGAAAGGAAAGTCAAGAGTAACGTCAAAGTGTGAACTGAGAGGGACTTGGCACCATTAACAGAATGAGACATCTACTTTTATTTATGCACAGGCTGTATGCGAGGTTAGAGCAAAACAACCATGTCAAAGTACCCAGCAAGCAGATGGAGAGGCAAGAGGAGAGGGACCCAAGCTGCACATACATACAAGGAAGTCCTATTAATAGAAGCAGCTTATGAAAGTGTAAAGAGGGGGCGATCACTGAGGAAAAGCAAGACCAAGAAAGGGCAGAAAGCACTATTTTTAAGTAGCCTCTATATTTCTAGAACCGGAGGTAAAAGAAACACATCTAAAGCCCTGCAGCCTTCCTCATTTGGGGTTCCTCATCTGAACAGAAACTGTTTTGACTATTTTCTCAATTCTCCCAAGGACGGTACATAAATAGTACCATTCAGGATGCCTGGCAAGTCAATTTATTACATTCAACGGATGCCTTAGGGAATTAGGGCTTAAATCTCTCCTGGACCTCAGGGTGAGAAAGCTGCTGGAGAAATGTCAACAAGCAAGACAGCATTTCACGAGTGAGTGGTCATAATACTTGGACACATCAATTCTCTGAATGACAAACCGATCATCTTTCTGACAAATTCATCCTTGACCATTAACGTATAACAGCCAACAGTGTGCTGGAGTCAACACACAAACGCAGAATGACCTCACCATCAACCGCCCCCCAGACTTCGTTTCCCACTCACGCAGCTCGGCCCCGGGGCCGACGCGATGCCCCACTTCCGCGCTGGAGCCAGAGCCTCGGAGACTAGTAGCTCTCTCCCGCCCACAGCCCCGGAGACCCACCCACTCGGGTCCCGGCCGCCCGCCCCGCCCCACTGCACGTACCCGGCGTCGGCTCCCCTGCCCCCCGGCCGTGGGGTGGCCCTGGCAGGACCCCGTCCGGGGACGTTGGCCCAGGAACACTCATGTCCTTCCCGCTGGGAACAGGGAAGGGGCAGTTCGTGCAGACGGTCAGATGCAGTTACGAGCGGACCCAACGCGTCCAGCGCCCAGCCGGACAGAAGCGGGGGTCGCACCCGGAAATGACGGAAGCGGAAGACTGTGTGACCGCGGGTCCGCCCCCCTTTTCTTGCCTCCACCTCCACCTGCCGGACAACTGCCGGCCGCGAGGCTGGGACTCCGCGCTGACGTCGTCGTCGGGTGGAGGGCGCGGCGTCAGTAGAGTCCGCTGTGCCGGGGTCGTGTTTTTGCGACCGGTTGTCGGGGGGTGGGTGGAGAAGAGCGCGCTCCCTAGGGGGTCGCGAATGTGGGAAGAGGTTTAGTGTTGAACGTGATGGTGCAGTCGGGCTTTGTTCACCGGAGCCAGGCACAGCTTTTCAGTTTCTTGTCCGTGTTAAGGAAACACCTTAAGAACAAGGACTGCGTGGTTTTCCTGCGATTTGGACCATTTCTTAAAAATAAGTGTTTAGCTCTTTGAGCTTCAGCTTTGCTAATTGGGGATTTGCCAGGATTCCGGTCGCCCTTTGTTGATGGCAGGTGAATGATTTTAAGGCCTGGGTTGCAGTATCAGCTGGACGAATTAAGCCAAATTACCGGAAACTGCCCATGCAGAGATCCTGCGGGATGATGTCATGATTTTAATGAAAAACTCAGAAATGGCCAGAGGCAGCTTCAGGCCACATAAAAAGATCAGCTATTCCCTCCCTGCCTTAGACCCTCTCACCTTGAGTGTAATAATGGCTTTCTGATGTTACACCCCAAAATTGCCCGTTCAGTGTTTTATGGGGCAGCCAAAATTGTTTTCAAAAAAATGTGGATTTATGTCGAGCCTCAGAAACATGCACCTGCTCCCCATTGCCCTTCTCAGTGCATTCACCTCTTTTGGCCTCCTTTCCTCTCAAGATTGGCTCCTTACTACCTGTGGTAAGCAGAATAATGCCCCCCACCAAAGATGTCCACGATCTTAATCCCCAGAACCTGTGAATATGTTAAATTTCACCCACAAAGAGTAGTTAAGGTTGCTAATCATTTGACTCTAAAACAGATTATTCTGGATTACTAAGTGGACCAAATGCAATCACAAGGGCCTTCAAAATGAAGAGGGAGGCAGAGGGAGATGTGACTATGAAGAATGATTAAAAACACTTTGAAAATAGAGAACAAGAACAACCGGCCGCGTTTGTGGTAACCTCTAGAAGCTGGAAAAGACAAGGAAGTGGATTCACCCCTAGAGCCTCTAGAATGGAACTCAGCTCTGCTGACACCTTACTTTTAACCCAGTGAGACCTGTGTTAGACTTCTGACCTACAGAACTATAAAAAATAAATTTCTGTTGTTTTAAATTTGTGGTAATTTGTTACCATGGCAATAAAGTAATGTACTACCCTTCAAGCATCCTTTGTTCCTTCCCAACATCCAACTAAAACTATGCCTTTTGATGTCTTCAGTGTTCTTGCTCATGCTTCAGCCTGGACTAGTCTATTCAAAGTCCTACTCATCTTTCAAGGCTTGGTCTAAATAATACCTTTAAAATAATTCACAATCCCACCTCCCCTTTCAATGTTCAGAAATTATAGTAATAACCTTTTCTCAACTACAAAGCATCCTGCTATTTAGCACTTAATCCATTCTTAATATGAGTTATTTCCTTTGCCTTCCTTTATTAGATTTTAAACTCCAAACAGAAAGTCTCATTCAAAGAGAACCATAATGGGTTTTCAATAAATGTGTGCTGAATGAATGAAGTATTGATTCTCCAGAGCCAAATTCCGAATACCTATAATCTCCAAAGTCTAAATCACGCAAGACGGCAATAAGCTGCCTGGACACCCTAGTTGATTATTATTATTATACAACAAGATATTAAGGTCCTTTAGAAGAGACCCATGTCCTATGGGTTGTCTGTAACCTCTTTTATCTCTTGGCACAGTATTTTTTTTTTTTTTTTAAGATTTTATTTATTTATTTGAGAGAGAGAGAATGAGAGACAGAGAGCATGAGAGGAAGGAGGGTCAGAGGGAGAAGCAGGCTCCCCGCTGAGCAGGGAGCCCGATGTGGGACTCGATCCCAGGACTCCAGGATCATGACCTGAGCCGAAGGCAGTCGCTTAACCAACTGAGCCACCCAGGCGCCCCTCTTGGCACAGTATTAAGCATATTACCTGGATTTTAAAAGACTGGTTGTTTTAATTTAATAGGATGAAATTAAACTGTCACAGCCTGCCTATTTTTATCATCTTGTCCTCTCTTCTATTTTGGTTTCAGGAAAGATTCATGTTAGAAATTTTGATGAATGTTCTTTTTCAACATTTTACTTTAATGTAACAAAAAATGCATCAGCTAAAGAGACAAGAAGTACTTTCTGCCAGACCCATCTTACTTTTCTCTTTCTCCTTTTCCTTCTTTCCCCTGCAGATTTTAGCTCAATACATCAAGTGCTTGTTGAAGATCCACTGTGTTCCACCCTCCATTATGCAGGTACTGTGCACCTAACACTGCGTGTGACAGCTCAAAACACAAGGTTGGAATCTGATGCCAAAGAAACACAGTTCGTTGAGTCATACATGTCTTTCAGAATACCCTTCATTTCCCCAATGATAGGGGCCTTCTTCTCTTTCTCTGTCTGGTTCCCAGGTTTTATTGAAGAACTCATACAAAATATTCAATATACAAATAAATGAGTTTTAATCCTCATCTCCCTCCTTTTCTTTCTCCTGGTTAATGTGGAAGTAACGCAATTCATAACTCTCTCTGCTGTTAGCAACTACGTATAACCAATCACCTAGATTATTCTTCAAATATTTTTTGGTGAGATATTTCAAATACCTTTTGGAAAAAGGCACCTCAGAAGTTACAGGAATCTTGCCCTTGCTCCTTTCAATGCTTACAACCCCTTCACCAAGATTCCAAGCTTTTCTATTCACTTCGATTCTTTTTTTTTTTTTTTTTTAAAGTCCAAGCCTGTTTATTTGGTCACCTTGATTCTCTCTTGAAGAAACTGCTCAAAATTGGCAGCATCCATGATTCCATCTTCTAGAGGGTGAGTGCAGTCAAGGGTAAACTTCAGAACTTGCTTCTTTTTTTGCCCCCCCTTCATGAAAAGCTTTTTCAGGGGCACCATGGCAGCAGTGGAGACAGAAAGGAGGCCATTCTCTTTTATGTATCAATCCATTCCAAATGCCTCTGTTCCTAAGATTGGACGAGACACTGTAGGGTATAAAAAAGAGAGGTAGAAATTCCGGTTCCTGTCCACCAAGAATTTATATTCTACCATTTATATGTAGTAGGATTGGAGAACATGACAAAAAGTGCTAAATTATGTGGAACAGACCTAGAGGATTGTAAAGAGTGTAATGACGTCATATTAGTTTCCTACTGCTGCTATAACAATTTACCACAAACTTGGTAGCTTAAAACAACACAGATTCATCATCTGATAGTTCTGGAGGTCAGAAGTCCAAAATCAGCCTCAGTGGGCTAAAATCAAGGTGTTGGCAGGGCTGGTTACTCTGGAGGCTCTGAAGAAGAATCTGCTTCCTTGTCTTTTCCAGCTTCTAGAGACTGCCTGCATTCCTTGACTCCTGGCCCCATGTCCCATTGCCTTTTCTCCCTCTACTACCATTGTAGCATCACCTCTTCTCCCACTCTGATCCTCTGGCCTCCCTCTTAGAAGGACCCTTAGGATGACATTGAGCCCCTCTGCATAACCCGAGATAACTTCTCCATCTCAAGATCCTTAATTTAACCACATCTGCAAGGTACTTTTTGCCACGTAAGATAACATTCACAGATTCTGGGGAATTGAAAGTGGACGCCTTTGGGGGCGGGAGCCATTATTCGGCCAACCACAAATGCACAGTCGTAGAGTGCACAATTGGGAAGTAACTGGAGAAATTTTTAAAATTTAAAAGAGGAGGGGCGCCTGGGTGGCTCAGTTGGTTAAGCAACTGCCTTCGGCTCAGGTCATGATCCTGGAGTCCGGGGATCGAGTCCCGCATCGGGCTCCTTGCTCGGCGGGGAGTCTGCTTCTCCCTCTCCCGCTCCCCCCTCTTGTGTGCTCTCTCTCTCTCATTCTGTCTCTCAAATAAATAAATAAAATCTTAAAAAACAAAAAAAAATAAAATAAAATAAATAAAATAAAATTTAAAAGAGGAAATGAACTTAAGCCAAACCTTAAAGGTCAGGTCAAATGTAATATGCAGAGAAAAAATAGTAAAGCCTTCCAACAGGAAAAAAACACAAGTGGCAAAACAATACTTCAGACTCAAGGACATCAAGATGCTATTTTTTGGGAAAACAAAACTAACACAGATTCAACAGTTCATAGAAGAACTTAACAGGAAAAAGGTGTTGTATAGTCTTTTAGACCAAAATAGCTTAGGAAGACAAAAGATAACACAAAGTGTAATCATATAGCTCTGAAGAAGTTAGTCTAAAGAATGTCCAGAAAGAGTTAAATACTGTATATATTCATAGCAAAAGGAAAACAAGCCCATTGGTCCTTGAAATCCAAAAGAGAAGGAGCAAATATAATGTAATAAATCCATCAAAACTATTTATTCACCTCAATTTTGTGTTTTCCTTAAATTTTCCTATATCCAGGCGCCTGGGTGGCTCAGTTGGTTAGGTGACTGCCTTCAGCTCAGGTCATGATCCCAGGGTCCTGGGATCGAGTCCCGCATCGGGCTCCCTGCTCTGCGGGGAGCCTGCTTCTCCCTCTCCCACTCCCCCTGCCTGTGTTCCCTCTCTCGCTGTGTCTCTCTCTGTCAAATAAATAAATAAAATCTTTAAAAAAAAAATTTTCCTATATCCTTTATTTTTGCTAACTGAAAATGAGTAGGTAGATAGGGGATTCAAATAAAGAAAAAAATGTTAATACATGAAGATTTTCTATTCCTATATTTAGAATGTGCTAAGATTGATAAATCTACTCCCGGTTTGACCTACTTCTCTCACAGGATTTTCTTCATCTTCCCCTTTATTTTTCTCCAGTCTTTTCCAAAAACAAAAGAAAAATGGAGGAGAGGGATAAAAAGATTTGAGTGAGGGGGCGCCTGGGTGGCTCAGTTGGTTAAATGTATTGCCTTTTCT